TATTTAAAAAAATATAAATTTTTGAAAATCAATGGATTTGGTTTTTACTTTTAAAATTATGTATTGAACAAAATGTATTGCTTTTAATAAATCCGTATCTTTGTTTAAAAAATTATTTTTGTCGTTCTCATTTTATATTTTTATTTACTATTTTTATGAAATGTTGATTTTATCTTAAATTTTGTTTATCGCAAAATAAACATTTTATACCTATCTGATTTAAATATTAAGTAATAACTATATAACAATTTGTAATTAATTCTACTACGTATTAAAACTAACATGTAAAAAATTTATCAGAACCACAGTAATTTTATGTTAATTTAATTTTTATATTAAGATTATTATGGATAAATACATAATATACTTATACCAATACCCATACCTTATTATAGAATATTATATATTATTATTTTATTCTTTAGTTTTATAAAATTAAAAATAATATAGTAGATAATACATTAGTTTTAGGTAATAAAAATGTTGTAATTATCCTCAATTCAAAATCTCGATGTCATCTATATTTATAAAATACATTAATTATAATAATAATAATAATATTATTTTTAAATACAAAAATAAATGTTAAAGTTTATTTTTCAGTTTTTAAAAATACTCAAATTATTAAATACACGTTTTTTAAATAAAAATCGAATTTTATTGGTATTTTATGATTAACATTTAAATAATGTTTATCGATTGCCTAAAAAAGAGAAAAACCGTAAAATAACCCTGTACAATTAATAGATATATTTTATTAATTTAGGAAATAATAAAAGTAAAACTGAAAATAAAGTGGTTTCTAAGCTGGAAATTTGTTTATATCAAATTTCCAGTAATTCTTTCTATATCATTATATCGATGGTCCGTTTTATTATGCCTCTCTCCGAGAAATTGGTTTTATTTTAATCAAAATATTATCAATAACAAATCAATAGATCTAAAAAAGATTTAGTAAAAAAGGATACAAATTTAAATCGTCGAACCCTCATATCCCTAACTCTTTTTTGTACTTAGGTCTAACATATATATATATATATATTTTCTTATTAGATTTGAGTCAGTGACTATTACAGAACTTTTATATTAAATTGATTTTGTATTAGCTTATTTAACAAATTATCTGCTAGCTTATTGCTATAATATATGATAAACTTATATTTGTTTGTATTAGGATAGCAGTCATGGATAATAGTAACAACTGCTCGCTTCGTGAAGATAAATGTTGCGATGCCGAAGAAAAAGAGCGAGAACAAGCGACTGATGAAAAGAGTTCTAGTTCATCTCAATTGGGAGTGGAAAGATCTTCAGGCACAACAAATCCTCCGAGGTAAGAAAATACTATTTTATTTAAAAGTTTTTAAGAGAAAATTAATAGATATTTTAATTTTCATTGTTAATTTTTACATTAAGTGTACTACATTATAAAAATAAAATACACTTAATAAATGTGCATGTGCTTATTGGAGGTGATTTTTCAAATTTAATAGCTGTTATTCACTGTGTATAAATATGACTAGATTTTTATTATTTCGGTATTATTTTATTTTATTTTTATTAACTGTCAAACTATATACCTTCCCATTTTATTTATAAGTAATGAAATAACTTATTAGTTATAATTAGGACTCAGAAGTTGTAGCACTAAATATGTTATTTTTTAGCTCTTAAAAATGCACTTAAAAACTCTAAAATATGCGCTATAAATAGCACGAAAAATAAAAAAAAATGCATTTATGTTGAAAAAATTATAAATTAGAAAAAAAATTAAAAGTAATTTTACAAATATTTGGGCACGTAAACGTTTGGACTGATTGAATTATAAATTTAACAAAATTGTTAAATTAATTAAATATATTTGTAAAAGTTTACTTATAATTAAATGATTGTATTTAGTCACTAACTATTAATACATCAAATTGTCGATAAAAAAATAAAATAATTGATGATGTCTATTTATTTCCTATAATTCAAATATTTTTTAAATTATAACTAATTAAATCATATTATTATTCGTTTTAAATTTAAGATTCAATCATTACGTTTAAGTTTTTTGTTTTTTTCTAGACAAAATAGTTTTATGAACATTCTTTGAATTATTCTTTTTCGTTTTTTGCTTTATAGTTAAGGACGTCATCAGATGGAAATTTAATTTTGTTCTGTTGTTTGTCTTTACGAGAAATTTTTTTAAATTAGTTAAATTAGTCATTACAATTAGATCATGTAAGTTGTTTGGTTTCTTTGATTGTTCTGTAATTCATAGCTCTAGGCAATTTCAATTTTCTGGCAATTGATTACTATTGGTCAGCAGTAATTGTTTACCCTTTTTTTCTCAAAATAATTTATACACCTCGATTTTAACTATAATAATTTAATATTGTACTTTATCATTAAATGTGAAAACAGTTATGTTAAAACAAATAATAATACCACATTAATATATATGTTATCTTAGTTACATAGTGAGAAACAACGAAGGAAATTATTTTCATAAATCAAATCAGTTAGTTATTATAGGTTATTGGCCTACTTACGAATTAAAATATGTTACATTTTTAGTGACTAAAATCTACATCACATTTATAAATGTTGTTATTATTATTTTTTAGTAGTTATGTGAATTATATGATCTTATAATCTTGCGTATTTATATTTATATTATTTAATTTCTATATCAAAAAATGTAAATTTATGTATTCTATAAAGATAGAAGTACTTCATTAATAATAATTAATAACTAAGATAACGAATAATTTTAACAAAATTTTCATGTACTTGAAATAATCGGAATCAAAGTTCTGTACATTTTTTATAATTACCTAATAATCTAATTTTAATATTTTAAAATTATTTACTACCAAACAATAAGCTAATAGATAAATTATATTGGATTTCTATTGTAGAAATTTATCATGATTATTTTTAAATTCTAAATCTTTTATTAAAAAAAACTTTTTTCACTAGTTAAAAGTTGAATTAAATATATTTTTTATGCAGTTTTCACTGGATTAGTGAGGATATGCCTTGGTTACTTTTTGTTTTATTAAAAGTAAAGGAGACTATTTATATACTATTCATAGTCACATACTCATAAGCATATTATGTTAAAATGAATTATAATGTAAAGTAAAATCGTATACAGAAAGAACTTTTGAATTTTATCGGTATAAATATATCATACATCCATAAAAATTGTTTCTAACCTAAACAATCTAATAGAATATATTATTTTATGTTATCTTCAGCCTTGCATATATTATTCTATTTTCGTCATATTTATATTTTGGTAATATTGCTTATATTTATAAATATCATAACATGCTGTAGTTCAGAAATTCAGTTCATACTTATACATTAACTTTACGGCATAAAGTAGCGTTCACAGTTTACCAAGTTTGCTCTTTATCATAATTCTATTTGTAAAGTGAGGTTATTCATTTTTTTGATATTAAAATATAAAAAAAATAATTTATTGCAATCATAATATTACACCTAAGTAATTTTTATTCAATATATTGTGACGGAAGTAAAAAAGTTTGAGGAAGTATTAAATAGTGCCATATATTTCTCAACTTTAGTAGGCAACTCAAGAAATGTACCCAATATTTCATGCGACTTTTTTGAAAATAATATTCTATGTAACTTCCTTAACTTTTTCAACCACCAAATTAAAAGATTATTTTTCTATATTTATAATATCTAGTAATATCAAGTGTAGTTAATTATTTTTATAATTGATACCAAGAAAAATGCAGTTTATTTCTCGTCAACAACTTATCAAATTTAATTGTTTTATGAAAGTCTACCGATAAAGTATATTTATAATTTTAAAATACCAAAATTCTGAATTTATACTTGTTTTTCAAGAAAAATAATTTTCAAAATAATTTGTAATCGAAATAGGGTTGCGATCCGATGATTGAAGAATGCTATGCAGATAGTCAGTTTATTGGCATTTTGATAGATAATCAATTTGTTTTAATAAAATAATATATGATAGGGTGATGCATTATGTGAAATTGAACATTTATAATTTCGGGATAATTATATATTTATTATGACCAAATAAAATAAATTAAAAATATTCTTCAGATAACATATTTATCTCTGAATGAGAATTTGTAAAACTTATAATTTTCAAATGAAATAATGAGTACTAAAATACACAAATATTTTGTTGTGAACTGCATAGTTCATGATTTAAATTATTGTAAATTATTCGAAAATTATCGAAAAAGATGATGATCATCATTGAGGTATAATTGCAAACATGTTTAAACAGCTTTAATATGTGAACCTATTGCCTATATTACAATTTACATGTAACCAAAATTCATCATTATTATTTGTCTTCCGGCAATACTGTTGAACATAATAATAATAGTAATAATTTATTTCTGGGTTGGTCAATGCATTAAACTTAATTAAACAGTGTGTGTCCAGATATGCAATAATTGCATTGGATCACGAAATAAAATAATACCGGATATTTATAAATAACACCGGAATCCGATATGAGTATTCAGTGTGCCACTGACAACCGTGTAGTACTTGCTTCATTTTCGTGATCATAATCGTCTCGTCGGATCATCGATTGTACAAAAACCTGCGGAAAATTCTTTTGTTGATAAAGTCGATAAAATTGCGCTCGAAAATCAACGGTAGAATATACGCATGTGTTAAACATGTTAAGTATTATTTCATATGATGTGGGTAAGTAATATGAACACGGTACGTGTATCCTTCCGTTCGCTCGCCTGGACCCTGACCTCGGGTTATGCGAATAATATCGTTGCCGTTGCCAGTGCAACGGCGGAGGTTTGCCCATGTGACGGCGCAGAAAAAGTTCGTGCACTGCGCAAAACGCATAATGTATTAGGTAATATCTTGAGCGCACCCGCGAGATCAGCAGTGTTACCGCGGCGAAGGTATTCCACCTTGGCGGTGCACCACGGTTGCACTGGACGGATCACGAACGGCGCTGCCGCCGCCGTCGTCGCGCGCATTCGGCTGCGGGACGACCCACTGACGGTAGTGACTTGTACCGCCCGTGATTTTTTCAATGAGTCAATGTCGAATGCGTTCCGCCAGTAGTAGTTATCGAGTCGGAAGCAACATGTGCCGTTCCGAGTTGAGTGCGGTTAGGGTTCTCGACGCTTTCGCCGCGACCCTGATGCTTTGCTGAACGACGACAATTATTAAATTAATTCGGTCGTGCAACGACGCAATAATATTATTACCGTACGTCAATAACAACAACAAGAACAATAAGTTAAATAATAACGTAATTTTTTCTCCGTTTTCCGTCTTAAAGTCGCTTTTCCGCCGGATTACTTGTTCACGGAAGTGACATCAAAGTTCTTTTTTGTTTTTCGTTATTCATCTTTCGTTCATATTTTCGAGAATAAAAATCTTTAACGTATTGTTGCTTACCCGATTTCCACGACATCCGCGGTGGCATGATGTTTTCCGGCGTCGAGTATACCACAACTGCTGGGACTGTCGGATCGTTGCAGTTACAGTCTCAGCACCACCCGTCGGATGCGGCCGTTAACAATCAAAGTTGCGTGGCGGAGACGTCCAACTTTGGCCATCATCTTCATTCTGATCATCTGCTCCAGTACCAAGATTACAATCGTCTTCACCATTATAACCGTTACCAGTACTTTGCAGAGGCATCACAACCCTCAACGATGGTTACTACTCCCGCCGCTGCCTTGTTGCCTTCTCCTCCTGATGAAAATGATTTCTACGGCACCTTTTTCCAACACGATAACAACAGTAATGACGAAGACCTTTATCGTTCTACCGCCTCGTCTCTGCTGTCGCCTTCCTCGTCATCGTCCTCGTCTTCGGCGTCGGCGTCTTCATGCGCACCGCCATATCGTCAAGTGTTCTTGCCCACCCAACAAACGCACGATTGTTATGGAGTGCCAGCTCATCCGTCTATCGTCGATTATCAGCCACATGTCACCGATTATCATCCGCCGCCGGTTACTGATTTTCCACTGACCGTAAATTATCGGTCGCCGCCGGTCTCCGATTTTCAACGGCCACATCAACATTATTATCGTGACTTTTGCGCCCAACAGCCACTGTCGGTTTATCACAATAAAGATAGCGCATCGTCCTACGATCACAACGGTCCTGAGTTGTCCACTGCCGCTACCACCGCCGCCGTCACCGTCACTAATGTCCCCGCCACCGTGAAGTCACCCAAGTAAACTTTTGTTTTGTAACTAGTTTTTCAGTTCTTATTACATATGGGGTTCGCTTAGTTCGATATGAAAGTTAAATAACTCACTATTCTATTTAAGTGTGACCCCCCCACTTGTCTCAAGTCCCTGACAATTTGTATTCGAATTATAAAAACAATCAATCCATGCAGAGTTTAAAAAACTACAAGAACCTTTATTATTTAGTACTATTGTTTGATTAACAGTAAAATTATTATTTTAACTGTTTATTTCATCTAGGTTATCTTGCGCATTTATTGTGCATGTTATAAGACAATACGTTCTATGAAAATTTTTATTTGCTAAAAGCGACTTTTCATGATGTCGGAAATCATTGCTTTAGAGATGACTAAGATAAAATATTTTCAATCCGATTTATTTATTAAACTCTAAATCGACTCTTAGGTGATGATTTCAATGGATTTTTGTAGATATTTTCGTATCATGGTGGATGTGGATCGTTGTTTAGTTTTTTGTCGTACTTTTTTCATCGAATTCAATTCATTCTCCATGTTGTTTATTTTTTATCATTACCAACTATCGCTAAGTGTTCACTTTGTCGTTTTTATTTGGTAGATGAACTTGCACTCGCAATTGTGATATTTTGCTACAATTTTTTGATAATTTAAAAGAACGTTTTTTTTCTTCACTAACCTGCCTAGCTTATCAAATGTGCATCATTTTCAAAACGGTGCGGGACTGGAACAATGCCTAAAATCAAAATACTTTGTTCTTTCGTGTTACTTTTTTTCAATAGAAATTCTTTTAATATTAACTGTAAATGTGCTGGTATTTCATTCAGTTTACACCGAGCTTTACCTTTATTTTGTATTTCAGTTTCTGCATGTTTTACACTTTAACTTGACCAAATATTAAAGTTACTTATATCAAACCGAAAGAAAAATATATTGTCGTTTATCTAACGTTAATTTTTTCGATGTTTGTATTATAGTAATTTATATATAGATATGTGTAACAACTATAAAAATTGTTCTTTTTATGTAATTGTTACATTGATTTTAAAAATAAATTATCTGAAAATGTTTTGCCTAGAAATTCTGATATGTAAATGTCGTTAAATCGTAAGTAGTCGATTTCAATCTATTCTCTCGGTAATTCGTATGATTTCAGTTGTCTTGTTTCGTTCCTAAATCGTAATGGTAATTAATATGCTTCTTTGGGAACTTGGGGTTTCTAATAAACTTGAATGTTTTTTAAAAATTTCTTCCAATATACTTGCGATTTATTGTATTATATACATTATTTTTACATTAGTCATAGAACCATAGATAGATAGATTAGTCATAGATTGCGTTGTGTAATGTTATTTATCGGAGAGTTTTGACTACTAATAAACTTCAGCTTAAACGTTTTTCGAAGTACCATATTACTATTATTTGTAAAAAAATATTTTTATTTAGCACATTCTTGTAGTTGATGTATCTTGTTTTACATTTAATATATTATTACTCAATATTAGGTTAATAATTAAATTTTTATAGTTTTATTTTTACGTTTTTTGTCAACCTCTATAGTTTGGTTATACATACTCGTCAACCCGAGAGACAATAACTTAATAAATAATACCTAATTTATTTATTTAATTTTACTTTTTGTATAATCAATGAAATATTAATTTTTATTTTGAGTACGCTACATTTAAACTTTTTAAGGGGTTCTAAGAAACTAGTTTTGATGATACTCTATGAATCATTGATTTACTATAAATATGCTACTGATAAAATGCAAGTTATTTAGAGTGAACACTAATTTGATCGTGTACTAGAAAGAAATGTGTTTTATTACGTAGTTTTGTTTGGTAATTTACAGGATAGTTACGGATTTACACATTAAATATTTGCGTTCAAAAAAACGTGAAATTATTATTTTTTATACTTGGACAAAATTATTCTTCAACATTGTAAATTAACTAATGTTAACTTTAAAGATAAAGAAAATTTATCTAACCGTAGAAAATTATTTTTAGATCATATTCTATAAAGTAAAACAACTTATTTTAATATTTTATTAGACAATTCGTTCAAACATTTAATAAATATTGTATAGGTAACATTTAGTTTCAAATTTATACTAAAAATTGATCAGTATTTAACCTAACACATATAATTAGCAAGTCTTATTTGTTTTTGTGAAGTTTTTTTGTAAGTGTAACTTTATTCAACATTCTTTAATATAACCTCCAAAAAACATTTGTATTTATTTTATTTCATTTTGGTATGTATGGTAAAATTTATGAATATATACAAAATGAAAATATACAAACTAATCTCATCATCTGCTTTTAAGAAAACTTGTATTGAAATTGAATATAATATGGAAAAAATATTCCTGGAAAAATATGAATAGATCCTATCAAAATGCGACGGTTTGTTGAAAAGAACAAAAACAGTTTTTTCGATCAAAATATAAAATTATATTTTTAGTAAACAAGATGTTTTTTTTTAAATAGAATTCTATGAATTTATATTTTATTAAATGGTTGTCATCAATAATAGTATATATTAATATTATTTCCATTTTTCTCTTAATTTATAAATTATAATCAATATCATATTCTTAAATAAAGTACCAAAAAAAGTTATATTCACACAAACTTTAAAAGTATTCTTTTAAATGTTTTTTTTTTTTTTTTTTATAATTATTATTTGCTATGATATTTTGAATAATTTAATATTCAAAAACATTTAAGTATTTTGGTGAAAATTAGAAAAAAAAATTGTGGATATCATTAGTGTCATTCAAAAAAAATATTGAATATGACATGATTATACATACATTACATTGATGTAATTTTAGTCCTGATGTTTTAGTAATATTTGGATGATGGTTAAGGTTTTAATAATTTTCATTCAGATAGTAAATCTATTTGGTACATACTTATTTATATTTTTATTTTTACATTTTTAATTTATTTTCGTAAAATGTGTAATGAAAAAAATGTTATTCATCGTAATATTACAAGTATTTTGTGATATTGATCCTCTAATTAAATGTATTTTCTTCCAATATTAAAAATATATTTATTTTTTATTTTAAATAAACATTTGTTTTTTTAAAACTTACATTTGTTTATGTGTTAAGCTGTTAATTACTTCAAACATAAGTTTTCAATGGATAATATAGTATATAATATTATATTGTCTAAAACTATAAACTTATATGTAAACTATTTTTCACTACCATTGGGTTTGAGTAACAATAGGTATTTAAAAGTTGTATTTTACTATTAATTTTGGTGTTATTTTTTTTTCCCGAAGATTGGATTTTCTACTGTCCATGTGAGTTATATAGGTATTTTTAAATTTAATTTTTGTTTTATTACTTAACCAAAAAAAAAAAAAAATAGTTCTTTGTGTTATAGCTATAAAATTACCTATAAATATTTCCATCATCTACCTATTATGTATTATGTTATTTTACTTTGTCTTAGAATAGTGGTTTAGTTTAACTCGTACATTCTAAATGAATATTGTGTTGAGGGCCCTAAAAGCGTCATAGACATTTTATTAAAGTATAATTTATGTTTTTAAATTTTATTATGTTTTAAATCATTTCAACCATATTATTCGGCCAAAAAACATATTAAAATGTTTTAAAATTGGATAATTATTGTCAAATATTTCTATGTGCACCTGTAAAAGTAATTGATTTTTGGTTTTTCCTATTTTTTTTGTAGTAATTTACATATTAGATTACAAACTTGATGTTAAGTAAAAAATTGGATTCCTATATTATCAAAGAAATAACTAGGTAATTAAAGTTTAATTAAATATCTATTTATCAGTAATAGATTTTCAAGTTGTTTTTGGTTATTGTAGTTATTATAATGTCCAAGCAGAAATCTTCCTCGTACATTTTTTTTACTATAATTGGCAGAAAAACAATTTGAAGGAATACTATATACTATAATAAAACTTGATATTTAACAAGATAAATAAACTATCGTCAAAAACAAAAAAGTTTCACGTGAATTTTAGTCGATTTCAGTACTATAAGAATATTTGAAAAAAAATTCATTATTAATTTCCTAATTTTATTGTTATGCTCGAAAAATTCCAAATATCAATGTTATTAAAATGAAATATACCATTGGATATATTTTCTTGTTCTAAATTCCGAGTAAAATCAAAATTTCACATATCGGCATTCTCATAATTTTAAAGTATTGGTACCTATAATTATTTCCATGATAAAAATATCTATTAACTTTAATCTAAAGTAATTTATTTATGATTTAGTTATTTATAAAGTGGTATAGCAAAACAAAAACTAGAATGGTAAAATGATTCAAGTTAATTCAATGTAATTAATAGAAGGAAATGGGTTTCATATAATCTTACTAGATTGTTATAATGTTTATGTTTAATACCAGTATTATCCCCAGTATTAACTAATGCATTTTATTCATGAAAGAATTAATTGACTCTTGTCTAGTATTTCTTATATTAAATATATTTCTAATTTCTTCTTTTACCATCTAAAAGAGTACAATAATGTTAATTATCAATTTCACCTCGAATTAAATAGTATTTACATTTTTACATTTAATGTAAATTTTATAGTAACATTTTAAATTTTGTTTATCTTTGATTTTATTATATTTAAGGGTTTTCTTACAAATTATATCTCATCGTTTTGAATTGAAATTATTTTTAATTAGACATATATTTTAATTAAAAAAAAAAAAAAAAAAAAAAATAGAACATCATAGTTTTTTTATTTTTACTCAGTATTTTATTCTGAAAATATACATATGTTTTATGTTTTCCCTTTGTCAATACTCTGGGTCTTTTATGACAACCGACTTTTCGAAAATGTATTTTGAAATTTCGTCACTTTTACAATATTATAAAAATTGTAATTATTAATGAATCGTAAAACAAACTTTAAGATCTTAAAGAGTAACCTTTAATTAGTATTTGTAAATTTGTTTAGATTTTTTCAAGTGTTAACTAAGTTCAAG